ACTGTTCCCTTGGTTTCTGTTTGGGATATATCGATTGACAGCTGAAGACACCACTTTCGCCTTCTTGGCCCTTCTTAATGGAACCTTTCTGGTTCACGGGCGAAGACCATACCCTTAACAACACGCGATTGTTCCAAACTTCCTCCCATAATTTTGACCACACGGACATTGTCGACATTAAAGTTAGCGGGATTCTTTGGGAGAACACCCAAAACGGCCTCGGCCACCAGGGGGGCAAGGATTTCCTCAGACCCAGACTGTTTGCTTCCAATAACCGTCTTTAGGGCCTTCCCGAGCTCAGGGGCAGAGCGCATTTCCTTTAATCTATCCACTTCGAGTTCTATGTAGAGATTGTAGCGTTAGCAAACAGGCAGCCGGCGGGTCCAAGGCGGGAAGGATCATAGAGCACAGAAAACAACGGATGTCCACGCCCGAGGAGGAGCCTGCAGAGCTTACCTTCTAAAGTACTGAGAGCAAAACCCTGTGCAACCTCGTACCCCTGAACGATATCACTCGTCTTCAACCCCATCCGTAGGAGATCCTCCGCCTTTCGTAGAAGCTCGCCAGCGAGGATAATAACCATATTTGTAGCATCTCCCATCTCCGCTTCTTGCTGCTGACTGGCCATAACCAGGAGTTTAGCAGCAGGGTGGACGACATCCAGCTCTCGCAGGATTGTGGCAGCATCAGATGTAAGAATCATCTTCTGCAAGTGGTTGATAACAATCTTATTCCGGCCATGAGGCCCGAGAGATGTCTGGACAGTCTGGGAAATAGCTCTGCATGCCTCGATATTTCGAATAACGGCGCCATCTTCGGAGTCGTGGCTGTATAAACAGTTAGTGGGCATGCTACCTTGACGCACATATCCAGCCAAAGCTCTCAAACAAAAAAAAAATTAAGATAAAATAAATGAGAATTCAAAGACTGAAGCGAAAGTACCTCTGATAGCCCTGCTTAAACAGGCCAGCATTGGGCGCCTTGGGAATCGTCAACGACATCGCTCGTGTGTCTCTGGGTGTCAAGCCGTGGGATGCTGCTTCGTCTTGTCTGTCTGCTTGCTGCTGCTGGCTGGCTTGCCCCCCTCGTCCCTCTTTTTGACGCTTTTCGCTGGGCGCTCTCCTAAGCTCCGTCTGGGAAAGTTTGCACTGTTTGGCCAATCTGATGACATAAGCAGGAAAAAACGGCCCAACAACTTTCTGCGGCCGAAACAAACTGGAACGACCTCAACAAGTCCTCTGCGCTGCCTTCTCTCGACCATCTCCAATCTTCCCGTTGCTGCCTGCTGCTCGTCGACACAGCAGTATCCAATCGTCAATTGAGATGTTCTCGAGACTTATCCGGGCCCGTGGCGTCGCCCAAGTTGGCAGACAGCCCTCGACACAGCTGTTTCGCCGCTCTGTGACCACCGACGCTGCCTCCGCCCATGCGGAGGATATTCCAGTTGTACGCCTCCCAGGCCTACCAATTGAGCGGATATATGCCGGTAGAAAGAGTGCTAACCATTCATTTGCGAGGTTGCAGGAAGATGACAAGCCCTTCTCAGTCAAGCTCTCCGACGAGAGCTTCGAGACTTACGAGCTCGACCCTCCTCCATACACCTTGAAGACAACCAAGAAGGAGCTCAAGCAGATGTACTACGACATGGTATCGATAAGGTAAAGATGCATCAGCTCCTTTTGTGCGCTATATATGGGGCATGTCTAACCTTTAACTTCTTTCCCCAGACGTATGGAGATGGCCGCAGATCGACTTTACAAGGAGAAGAAGATCCGGGGATTCTGCCACTTGTCGACTGGCCAGGAAGCCGTCGCTACTGGTATTGAGCATGCCATTACCCCAGATGACAAGCTCATTACTGCCTACAGATGCCACGGATTTGCCATGATGCGCGGTGGTACCGTTCGCTCGATTATCGGCGAGCTGCTTGGTCGCCGTGAGGGAATTGCCTACGGGAAGGGAGGATCGATGCATATGTTTGCTAAAAACTTCTTCGGTGGCAACGGAATCGTCGGTGCTCAGGTACCCGTTGGCGCTGGTCTTGCCTTTGCACAGCAGTATAATGGCGAGGCAAATACCACCGTCTGTTTGTACGGTGATGGAGCATCCAATCAGGGCCAAGTTTTCGAAGCTTTCAACATGGCTAAGCTCTGGAACCTCCCCGTCATGTTTGGCTGCGAGAGTACGTTTCAGATCGTGTTTTATCCATTCTTTAGTATGTTGTGTTGTGGCCGTATTAACACTTTTGACTTATAGACAACAAATACGGAATGGGAACCGCTGCCAACCGCTCTTCCGCTCTAACCGACTACTACAAGCGAGGACAGTATATCCCCGGTATCAAGATCAACGGAATGGATGTTCTTGCTATCAAGGCTGCCGTCCAGTATGGCCGCGAGTACACTGTCAGCGGCCAGGGTCCTCTTGTCTTCGAATATGTCACCTACAGATACGGTGGTCACTCCATGTCTGACCCTGGCACCACCTACCGTACCCGTGAGGAAATTCAGCGCATGCGCAGCACCAATGACCCCATTGCGGGACTCAAGCAGAAGCTTCTTGACTGGAACATCACCTCCGAAGATGAGCTCAAGGCCATTGACAAGGACGCCAGATCGATGGTTGACGAAGAAGTTGCTATTGCCGAGAAGATGCCTGTTCCAGATGCTACTCCGCGTATCTTGTTCGAAGACATCTACGTCCGTGGCAGCGAGCCCAAATGGATGCGTGGCCGCACCGCTGACGAGACCTTCTACTACTAAATTACGCACCTCCTCACCCTCACACAGCGACTTCTTCCGCTTCCTTTCCTACTTCTCAATTCCCTTCCCGACCTTCCCTCTATACACATTGGGTTGTCGTGGTTCATCCTGCCTTCTCTCTGTGCTGTATCACTGATTCATTTCTTTAAGTGTGTAATTTAGATTCAAAATAGCGCCCTATGAACCTTTCCCCGTTTCCTTCCTCACCATCCAACTACCCCTTTCCCACTTTCTCTATGCCCCGTTTTTACATCTTCACCACCATGATATATACATCTACCATCTCATTACCGTGTACTTTTTTGATTCTTGACTACCACATAGCTGCTCAAATGGGGATTAGAGCAGGAACAAATGCTGAATCAGATCCTTCCTTGATCGCTCTTCAAATCTATTTCAATCCTAATCCTAACCCTGTCCCATCCAGACCAACCAAGCCACCAGCCAAACCGCTCGCTAACAATCAACTAATGTTCCGACAAACAACAAGAGGGTCAAGAATAAGAGAGAAGAAACGATGGTAGAAGTGGGCCACAATACTAAATTTCCCTGGTCCAATCTACTCCATCTGAGCCTGTTCCAATTCCAGTTCCAATATACAAAGAAAAACATGATATAGAAGGGGAATAAGGAAAGCAAGGAGGAAAGGAAGCATGACGCAGGAAGCTAGCAAGAAAACAAGGTCTAATATCGTCCCCCATTTTGGCACACGATCGCAATCGTGGAAAGCAGTGGTGTGTAGTTTTATAGGTACAGTTATCCATCATGATTTTTCATGGCGTTAGAATGAAAAAAAACAAGTATGGAAGTGGAGAGGAAACGGTCGCTAGAAGAACGAGACAAAGCAATTTGATCGTAAGATATCAAAAGGGGTGAGGAAGGGCGAGGAGAGAAGAGAAGGGGGAAAAAAAAAAATAGGAAAAAAAAAGAAAAGATGAAATCCTAAGGCAAACCAAAGTCCTTCCAAAGAAATGTAAACCAGACCCTTGAAAGAAAATAAATGAAATACGATGATAAGATAGATAGCCCCTTTAATGTATAACAGTAGAGATAGAAAAAAGATCCCGATGAGTATATGGCATATAGATGCAAGATAGGAGGAAGGAAAGGTAGGATGAGAGGAATAGGGGCGGAATAGAGTAGAGCAGCAAAGCAAAAGGAAACGCCCAATCCAAGCGGTAAAACCCAGTTTTTTATCGAGGTATGAGAGCAGAAAGAGCCACATTCCATATGCAAAGGACAAGGTGATAGGCGAATACCAATATCACCGGGTAACCAAAAAAAAAAAAAAAAAAAAAAAAAGAACAGTAAGAAATATAGAAATTGGCATAGTAAGGAACTCAGTCAAATCATTTCATGAAACGCTGGTCATTCAACAGGCTAAGAATCATCTCTTGCGTTCGCTGCACGGAAGTAATTTTTTCTTCGAGTTGCGAGCGTTCCTTCTCCAACTGCTCACGAAACTCCGCCCGTAGCTCAGTGCGGATTTGGTCTATGGCTGAGACCGATATAGACTGGGCCACAGCAGATGCAGCGGCAGAGACATCAGCCATATAAACATCTGTTAGGTTGCCGTTAGCAGTAGGGGCTCCACTGACGCCGGTGACAGGTACACCCGGGTTAGCTGGATTGGAGCCACGAGCACCAGGGCCGCTTTGATGAGGGTGGTGCTGTTGGTGGGTATCAGTTATAGAAACAGAGACGGGGACAGAAGGAGAATTGAATGAGCGGCGGGTGGAGGAGTTTTCAGCAGCAGACATTAGCATAGCGGTGGAAGGGGAGAGATTTGGATTTCGAGATATGGCTGCCTTGGGGGTATTGTTGAGACGTGAGATGGCTTTCAGGGTGGCTGCGGAGACATTATTGGGATCTGCTTGTGGAGAGGACGAGGAAGGATTGCTAGCCGTGGGCGCGAGGAGGTCCGGGGTGCTAGCGTTAACAGGGTGGGCATGGGGATGTTCTGCACCATTGTTGGTAGGATTGCCATTGAACATGGTTCCAAATCCCATGGGCAATTGTATCTCCGCTTGCTGCTGCTGGGGGGTATGCTGCTGTGACGGCTGCTGTGTAGCTGGAGGTGGTTGAGGAGTAGGGGGTTGGTGATTCGGGGTATCGAGGTTTGCAGGATCAACTGCCATGGACTTCCTTTTTCGACCTCTCTTGCCTTGCTTTGCGCTTATTCTTTCTGTCTCTTGCTGTTGAAACCGTCTCCAGACCGGGACCCAGGCATCTACGGCGGCACTCCAAGCGGCGTCTGCCTGATCGTCCCCCCGTTTCCCACCCATGCCGTTTAAAAACTTGATGCGTTGCTGTGTGACGAATTCGACTTTCCGGCGGACGCTGTGCCATGAATATGGGTGACCTTCTATCCGGTTGAATTCCAGAGTTATAGCCATCCACCATTCGCAGAGCTTATTACGCTCGCCAAAGGTGTCTGCATGACGATTACATATTTCGAATAAAGCGGTTTCTTCGCGAGTTGTAAGGCGTTTACCATGTTTCCGCGGTGCATTGCCTTCAAGGACTGCTATTTCGGCATCGTTTTCTTCTTGTGGAACGGTTGCGGGTACTGAAACAGGTACAGGGCGCTCCCAAGCCGGCTGGGAGGCTGAAGGCTGTTGTGACGATTGAGGTTGTGTTTGTTGTTGTTGTTGTTGTTGTGGTTGTTGTTGTTGTTGTTGCTGCTGCTGCTGCTGCTGCTGAGCCTGAGCCTGTTGCTGCTGTTGAACTTGTTGTTGTTGGTGTCTTTGCCGCTGATGGTGGTTTTGGAGATGTTGTTGGTGCTGGAGATGTTGTTGTGGTAATTGGTGAGGATGCTGCTGAGACTGTGGCTGTGGATGTTGTTGCTGGGAGAGAGAGTGAGTCAACTGGTGTGAGTGTTGACGAGATAGAGCCTGTTGCTGTTGCTGTTGTTGTTGATGGTGCTGTTGATGCTGCTGCTGCTGAGTCTGTGGAAGAGTCTGATGAGGTTGTTTCTGCTGTGGGATATGGTGCTGCTGTTGTTGCTGCTGCCGCCGTCGAGCAGCAGCCTGATGTTGCCCATGCCCGTCATGCGGTCCCCGTACGCCCGATAAATGAACCTCCTGCCCATGCAACACAACCTTCCCGTCCGCGTCTTGGTCCGTAAATGGGTTCTCCCTCAGGCTGGGGCTCTCGGACGTCGTCACGTCTCCACCATTATGTGGATGCGGCTGTTGCTGCTGCTGTTGCTGGTGGTGCTGATGGTGCTGACTCGGATGATGACGCTGCTGCTGCTGCTGCGGCTGAGGTGTTGGTACCGGCTCATGGTGCGGCGTAGGGATGGGATAGTTAACAGCAGCAGGCTGGCGGAGGGTCGAGATGGGCGGGAGAGGAAGCGCGCTGCTCAGCGGCCTCCCTGGCGCCGCGTTCAGCCATTGATTGTGGCCCTGCTGCTGCTGCTGCTGCTGCTGCTGCTGCTGGTGATGCTGCTGACGGGATGAGAGGGTAGGACCTGGCGGGGCGGTAGGGTCGACGGCCCAATTGAACATGTATAGACTCGTGGACGGGACGAGCGAGAGCGACGAGACGCCAGCGGCGAAGGCAAAAAAGGGACGGGAAAAAACAACAAGCACAACAAGAACAGAAACGGGGGGGAGGGCAAAAAGAACGAGAAACCCCAGCAGGGAGAAGGAAGAAGGAAGAGAAAAGAAAAGGGAGAGGACGGGAAGAGGACACTCTGGGCGGGCTCTCGAGCTGCTTGAACTTGTCTGCGTGTCCTGGACGGCTGCTCGTCGGTGTTTCTTTTGGCCTGGAGGAGTTGAAACTTCGCGATGTTCTTCGTTATTTTTTTTTTTTTTTTTTTTTTTTTTGGCGGCAAAAAAGTGTCAAGGTAAGGTTATTATTTAAAAAAATATGGAGTCTGGCTCTGCTTCGTCGTCTCTTCTGCCTGCTTCGACTCTGGGTTCCCCTTCTGTTTTTTTCTTTGCTTTTTCCTCCCTGGTGCTTGTCTGGCTGGCGGTTCGTCTGCGTGTTTTGGGGCTTCTTGCGTCTCAGGCACGGCAGGAGAAGGTCATGAAGGGCACGACAGAGTGACAAGAGAGCAAGAGAGCGAGAGCAGGACTCGAGGCGAGCGACGATAAGAGCGACAGATGCCAGTCGTGAAAAAAGACAAAATAGAAGCGTCTCTCTGGGCTTTTTCTTCCTTCCTTTTTTTTTCCCTTCTTCTTTGCTTTTTTGCGCGACGGTGGGCTTATTTGCTTTTGCGAACGAAGGGCCCCTGGTACTGTACGCACGGCGAGAACCGTTGAGCTTCTGGTCGGCTCGGGCTGGCTGGCTGTCTGCCGGGCGCTGGCGCTGGCTCCGGCCGTCTGCTCGCGTGGGACGCGGCGTTGACGTTGACGGTGAAGTTGACGGAGTTGACGGTTGACGTTGACGTTGACGTTGACGTTTGGAGGTTGAGAGGTTGGCGTTGTTGTTGTGTTGTTGTTGTTGTTGTTGTGGTCGAAGAAGTTTCGCTCTGGCGCCGCCAAAAAGTCATGCTCAGCCCAAGAGACGGGCGACAGTAAGCGGGCAGGTCACTGCTACGTGCTGAGCCACCGCGACACAGCAGACGGACAAGATGCCAGGGCCTGAGAGACTTTAGGGGGCCCAGACAGGCTGGCGGAAAGGAGGCTACAGAAGGGCTGGACCGCTGGGAGAGGGAGAAGAGAGAGAGAGGCAGGCAGGCAGGAGGTAGGATGATGCTATGGTACATGTCCTCGTTCTGTCTAGAATGATAAGTCTATATAGGTAGTAGTATTATTACAGGCAGGCGTCAGACCTCAGCGCCGGCGAAGGTACCACGCAAAGGCAGCGCCTCCGATGGTTTCATTGAAGGGGGTTGGCACCTCTGCCCGGCCAGGGCGAGCCACGGGATGGCGCAGGTAGACGGCCGCGCAGATGTTGTGGTTGACCTCCAGGTAGCGTGGCACAAAGGCGAAGGGGCTCATGTAGTCGCGAGGCCGCCAGGGGGTAGCATACGGCTTCGTGCTGTCGATGGGGTTTTCGTGGATCTCCTCCAGAGCGAGCTTGAGGGCTTTCAGGTCAGCGGGAGAGTAGTCGGCCAGCTCGACGTCGGACAGGGACGCTGCGAGATCATCAATTTCGCTGGAGGACTTGCTATCTCGGCTGGTTTGGTTGTTGATGTTGTCGTTGTTGTTGTTAGTGGTGGTGGTGGTGGTGGTCGTCGTCGTCGTCGTGGTAGTAGAAATGGTATCAGCATTAGGAGTAGTAGATGAAGGAGATGGCGCAGTGGGTGATGCGGAAGATGATGGCTCGGTGGCAGAGGAGGGTGATTCAGTGTTGGGAGCGGCCTGTTCTGCTTTCTTAGCAGCGGCCTTTTTTGCAGCTTCGGCTGCCCGCTTGGTATCCTCGTCTATCATGTTCTTCAGAGCGAGGAACTGGGCCTCCAGGTTGTCTGTCATGGTCGTGGTGGTAGATGACCGCGAGAGCACCTGCTTGACGGACCGCTGGAAAGCACGGATGGCCTGCCTTCTTTTGGCCGGGAGCAGGTCCCCCGACGATGTCATGATCCCCTTGGCTCCAGAAAGCAACTCCTTCAACATCTGCCGTGGGTCTTCATCGTCTTTGCCTTCCTCCTTCTTTTGCTCCTTGTCCTCGGCCTTGGTCTCCTCTGTCTTGGTTTCCTCGACTTCCCCTTCTTTCTCCTCCTTCGACTTTGCGCCCATCCGTCGTCTGAGACGGCCGGCACGGCGTAGACTCTTGTCCTTGGGTGCTCCAGTAGCATACATCACTCGCTCAGGGTCAACCTGGAACATGTCTCCAGGGTTCAATAGATACCCAGGATATTGCATCTACCATCACATATTAGCTGCTTGAAATGCACATTATTGCTTGTAAAAGGAACCAGGAGACCAACCTTCTTGCCATTGACCGTTACGCCTCCGTGGATGACAAACTGCCTTGCCTGTCTGGTACTGCTTGCAAACATAGCACGGAATATAGCAACGTCCAATCTTCTTTCCAGAGGTGCAAATGTCATCAGCATGTATGGCGTGTCCGGGACTTGACGACCGTCTTCTCTATCCCCCTTGTCCATCCCTGAGCCACGGCCGGCTGCGTTTTTTGAACCGTCGTTGCGGGCAAGATCAAAGGGGTCCATGGGCACAACTGCTCGGAGCCGGCGAGAGAACATGCGCTCCCATTGACTCTCCCGGACCTGCTCACCATGGTATCCGCGGGCAAGCGACTTGGCCGACCATTTCTGCTGGAAGAAGGTCCTTGACTTTGTGAACGGGAGGCGGACTTGCGTGATGTTGAACAGGTTGTACTTGCTCCAGGACTGGCGGATTTTCTACCGTTGCCCATGAAGAAAAAAAACGAGGGTTAGCAATCTAGCCATTGCACACCAGAGAGGGCTCAGAAGGAAAAAAACAAACCGGTTTCCGGAGGTAGCTAGTCGCCTTGTTCCTCATCGTGACGTCTGTCTGTGTGTATCTTCCTGTCCGGCTCCTGGTATCCTCGTCGAACGTCGCCTGCTGCGTCGTCCTTTTCTGCTTCCAACCCAGATAATCTTTTTTTCCAGCGTTGGAGCCCCCGGTCACAGTCCGTCACGTGTACTGTTCTCGGTAAAACTATTTTCCTCCATTACTAACAAGCTTTAACCTCTGTTGCTCTCTAGCCAATCATCGTCCTCAGCTCAAACCTCGCTTAATCTTAGTCATTCATCACGTGTCATTCTGCCCTATATAAACAGCCGCCGGGCGCCCGCCTTCTTCGAAATTTTTTTCTTCTCTTCTCTTTCTCTCTTCATACTTACCTTGTTTGGGCTGGCGCGATCAAAAAGGCGCTTCGCCGTGGAAAGGCTCCTACATTGCACAGCGTGGAGAGCCTTGCCACTCAACATCCTTCGGGGTTTTGACAGGCATATTCTTTGGCACCTCTCCTGGACTCAGGTCCTACCTTTCTTTTCATTGTCTCTGCGCTTTATGTGCTGTTGCAAAGAAGAGTTTTGGTCTTGTTTATATTGTTGAGATCTTTTGCGATATGTGCTGTGTTTTGACTCATCGACCGTTTGCTGCCCGAGAATCAATCACCATGTATCAGCTAGGACGCCTGTTCGTGCGACACCACTCTACTGCCTCTGCTGCTTCCAGAGTGCCTTTAGCTTATACGCTGCACAAGCCGCGAGGCAGCACTTACTATGCCGGCCGGCCGCCCATCGTCTTCATGCATGGCCTTTTTGGCAGCAGGAAAAACAACAGAAGCATGAGCAAGTCGGTTCTTCCCTTTACCATAGTTTGTTCCCCCGAGTGCCACTGCTGATAGCCTGTAGGGTGCTGGCCGCTGATCTGGGGGCGCCAGTCTACGCTGTGGTATGTCATCGACCTTGACATCCTTTTTTTAACGAGCCGTTGAGCGCCCTTTACTCTGACCGTAAGAAGGATCTTCGTAACCATGGAGACTCCTTCCATCATCCAAAGCATGACTACACCGAGCTCGCCCTTGACGTGGAGTACTTCATTCACCAGCACAGCCTGCGAGATCCCATTCTCATCGGCCACTCCATGTATGCTCTAATCAGCATTACTCTCTCTCAAAAGCAGAGTTAACTAAATTTACAATTACTTAGGGGGGCCAAAACAGCCTTGACGCTTGCTCTACGCTCTCCTTCGTTAGTATCGAGTGTCATTGCTATAGATAACGGGCCCATTCGTTTGCCCCTAACCGACGACTTTCCACGGTACATCAGGGGCATGAGACATATCCAGTCCCAGGCTACTCCAGTCTCCTCCTTGTCCGAGGCCGATGCGCTCCTCTCACAATTTGAACCAGACCCCGCCATCCGTCTCTTCCTTCTCACTAATCTAACAAGGAAATCGGGCAAGGACCGTTTGCACTTCCGTGTACCGCTGGATATACTCTCGTCCTCGTTGGATGCTCTAGGGGATTTCCCATATACTGACCCTCGGAGAAACCGGTTTGAGAAGCCAGTCTTGATCGTCAGGGCAACAAGGAGCCATTACCTGCCGGATCACTCTAAGGAGCTTATGCAAAAGTTCTTCCCGAACTTGAAAATGGTAGACTTCGATTGTGGGCATTGGGTCATCACTGAGAAGCCACATGAATTTAGACAGAGTAGGTTTTTGGTATTTTCCATGGTACCCCCAAGAGCTTGATACTAACGAACGTGGTGGTCCCTTTTCAGCTGCTATCGACTTCCTACGAGACACTGTATTGTCTACATCCTAACTGATGTATATCGAGATTGGAGATTTGTTGTACATTAACCATAGAATATATACATATGTTATCTTGCGTCAAAGGGCCACAGCCTATCAGCTTTCTCAGGCGTCATCCCTTCCGCCTCTCCCAACTCCTTTGCAGACTCCATCCACTCTGCATACGCTGCCCTATTCGCCTCTTGAGCAGCATCCCATATCTCATTAGGCACCCAGCCATCAGATCCCGAGTTCATCTGCATCGTAAGCCACGTTTTCAGTTTCTGCCTTGTTTCAAAGTCCTCATACTGTTTTGCATGTCTGTGCAGCTCTTCCTCATCTGGGTCATATGGACAGCTTCCAGGCAGCCCCAATTCTGACCATAAAGACCGCAAGTCCAGAAGCTCTTGTCTAATGGCGGGGGCACCGTCCCTCCAGGTGGTAAAACAATAGTGAAATAGGCGGAAGAAGGTTGGGTCAAGCCGTGTTGCTGCTCGCATCTTGGGTACCTTGCCCTTCATGATAACGTCATACGTTTGGTGGCATATAGAAAGATCCTTTTGGAGCCGTCTCTCGTCTTCCGATTGCGCTTTCTCGGACTCGTCTGCTTCGGCTGAGCCCTGGTCGGCGAGCGAGGCAAAATCAGGGGTTCCGTGAACATAGATGAATGCAGGTTCAATCGATGCCAGTTGCCAGTCAATCAATCCTGTAACTTTGGTTAGATCGTCAGGAGAATCATAGATATTCCTCTTGTGGTAGTCTGGATGTACCAGGGCTGGCGCCGCTGCTGTCTATACTCGCCCATCCTCAATCAATATATTCATAGACTTTCGACACGCATCAATCAGGTCAGAATGTTCCTGGATAGTTCCACGGAATGGAAGTCGGTCATCGGCTGGTTGTTCTTTGGGTAGACGTGACAGGGCAGTATCTATTAGCCCGGCCGAATACTCCTTGAGATCTCTCCCTATGAAATCAATTGGTTAACTTCCTGGAATAACAGAATCAAAAAGAAGTCAACCATACATGGACCCCGGTTAGCATTCAATCCCTTGTAAATATCGCTTTCTCCAGCACCACAATTCCAAAAGAGGGGGCTGCAATACGGCCCTATACAAAAGCCATTGTCGAATGGTATTTTTAGCTTTTCTTCAATAGGTGCATCAGCGAAGTACAAATTTCCATATGCCGGGAAATCAAGAGATGACATCCCTCTAATCCGCAGCGAGAGCTCCTTGGTGCACTGCATGTGCTGCACTATATCCATTTCAGGCCAATGTTCATGCAAATCAACACCATCAGCGTGCTCTTGCATGATATATTCAATCCCAACCGGGTTAGATGGGTCATCACTCCAAAGAAGTATCTCTGGTATAGGAAGGGAAGCTTTTGATCGTACTTTTAAAGGAAGTTAGGAATAATTGCTAAGAACTCACTAACTCAACCTACAGTATGCTACAGTTACAACCTCCGAATTTGTTGTAAGCCTTGGGGGCCCTGCAACAGGCGTTGCGACCTTAGCAACAACTTTCTTGCCATTGTCCAAGGTAAAAATGAAGACTCGATTATATCCCCCTTCTTTCTTCTCGTAGGAATTAACTTTAGATGCTCCAGGGTATATTTTCGCAACAGTCTCACACAGAAGGGAGAAGTTGAATTTCAATGAACGTGATTGGCGCTGTAGTTCATCTTGATTCAACCATCGCCCAGTCGTGTACAAAAATGGATCCGATGCTGAAAATTTTCAGCAAATTATGATATTGAGTTTTGATTGTATAAGCCTCCTTACTTAGCTCTTTCATCGCGTCACGCCTAGCTGAGCTGCTGGAGAATGGTCGAGAGGACGTTGGAGGAGGCGGTGTCATTGAAGGCTGTGACTGAGACTGATCCATTTTGGAAGGCGGGATGCCACTGGGAAAACGAAAGATAGAAGTACCATTAGTAGGTGTAATGAGAGAACAAGTCATCTGACTAGCTCGAGAGCATACTCTTGCCAGCATCCTACTAGGGTATTCGTATAATCAGCACGATATTCCCGATTTGCAAAAGAAAGGATGTTGATGCCTGGAGTGAGATGAAAGACTCCTTATATTAGGTAATGGGCCGGGCAGTTATTCGGTCACGTGGAACGCTAAACTAGATTCGGTCAACAAAACACAAGGATTGTGTGCATGCCGCTGGCGGCTAACTTACCTGTTAATATTTCGGTAAAAAGCGAACTCCAGTCACAGTAACTGCTTACTTAGTTTGGGATAGGAACATATTCAGGAATATTTTTAATAGTCCTAGTTATAGACTCCATAATATATAACGGCTCGTCTTTGATACAATAATAAAAAACCCATAGCGACTTACTTTCTAATTCCTAGAGTAACTATTCCATGATGCATTGCTCTACAGAGCATAGAGTACTCTGTATAGATAGAGAGGCGAAAGGTTTAGTAGCTACTCTTTAGTTATATATATAGAAGGACCAAGGTTACTTCATCCGTCGTCCCGTCGGTTTCCCAAGGTTACAAACTATAATTAGTTATCTATACGCTAAGAATCGGTATCTTCACCAAAGTTTATTTCCTTACATTATTTAACTATAAATAGTATTATCTAAACTTGAGTACTTCATCCAAAGCTTAAATATACCTAGCCGCCAGAAAGGAGTAAATGCATTGCACCCCGAGTTACTTAAATTTTTGGGGCCATTTCAAGCTCAATAGCGGCAAGTGTATAACATCCATTAATAGGTCATCTATTCTTCTAGTAAAGTAGAATAAGCCAGAGTATCTAAGACCCTAGCGGCTATATCCTTATTAACTGTAGGGAGTACGTGATAACTTGACTATAACCTTTAGTATTTAAGGCAGCTTCATTGTCGTCAAAAAAAAAAACTCTTCTATAGAGTCAAGTCTATTCTACGATCTAAAGGATCCTTATTTTAGCCTAGATACGCTCTACCTTTATAGTTAAGGCTTAGGTTATATAAATATAAGTAGACGTGTCAGTTCAAGTAATATATATATTTAACTAGTCCTTTACTTAGTAGCAAAATATCCAAGGTCGTTATCGGGTTCTCTACGAAAATTGAGAAAAACTTTAATATTGCAAAAAGATTTAAAGCAACCTTTACCCCGGAAAGCCGAATACTCCCCTCCAAGACTACGAAAAACGACGAAGACTATTAGCTACATCTAGATACTGGTGAGATTATCAACAATAGATGGCTCAATATCGTGCTCCAGGTTAATTCCCAAGCAAAGAGCCCAGGTTTACGTACGTGGCTGAAAAAAAAAAAAATTGGAAAGGGAACACATGGGCAGCTGGCAATTTCGCGATTCGACACACTTGCGGAGGACGAGGAAAAGGGAGACGGAGCGAGTTCTGACTGACCTTTTGACAAAGGCGAAAGACGAATTGAAAAAGTAATAAACATTTTGTACTCAGAATGTTGTGCTTTGTGTCAAATTTGCTGTGTCAATCATCGTTCTAGTTATCAAGCTTTGGGAGGAACGGGCCTGTGGGGTGGTGGGGAGTGGGCCAAGATGAATTAATTTTGTTCTATTCTTAGCCACGGATTGCAATTTTTAACAGGGGTACGTTCGTTACTACGTATCATCAAATATTATTCTTCTTGCATCTATAAAATATATAAACGCAGCGAACTAAGGTCCCTACTTTTAGGATTTTTACAGAATACCACATAGGTAATATATAAGACCTAAAATGTTACTATTCAATGTCAACGGTGTGTACTCCTAGCAAGTGGATCTCCTAGCAAGTGGGTGTTTCTCTAGCCTCTAGCAGCTTATTCCATCAAACATATTACCTGTGAATTACATTTCAATTACTTTCTTGTTATCAACGGAGAAGTAGTTATCATACAAAATTGTAACTCTATGAAATAATAATAAGGAGTAAGAGTCCCGAAAACATTCATCCCACGTTAAAATTCTATCCACACTTAATCATTCCCGGGACTTTGCCCAGAATTTCCACCAGCTTCCAAGCTGGAGCTTTCCATCTCGTTGGTGTATTCGCCAATAATATACAGGAACTCCAACAATCCAAAAGCCAACAACGGTAAGTGCTTGCAATGGTTCAACAAACACAGCTCGACTGAGCAGAAACAAACTCACGCAGCAGAAAATTATCGGCGTCGATATCCACGTTTTATAAGGCCGCTCTAACCGAGGCTCACGAATTCGAAGCATAATAAGTCCCAAAACCGTGAGAAAATAAAAGGAATAACCAGCTACCCCGTAAAAAGTGACAAGGGTCTTGAATTCACCAACAAGGATATAGCACATGCAAAGTACCATGTTAAAAGTCATTGCATATATTGGGGTATATCCGATACCAATGTCATCGCCGAACATTCGCGCAATTGTCTTTTTGATAAAGGAACGACGTTGTAAGCGCCCTGTCATAGGATTTGACGATTCGCTAAGCCCAACCCTGCAAAATATAGATGGAAAATAACCCTCTTTACCAGCTGCATATATCAATCTACCACTTGTAAAAACCGAGGCATTCAGAGCCCCGATACAGCTTCCAGATACAACAAGGGCAAGGGCAGCGGCTCCAATGGGACCGAACACTTTTGCTCCAAAATGCACGGCAATGGTATTGGTACCGGAGATTGTGGATGCCGGTAGAACTAGAACGTAAGAGATATTTGCAAGTACGTAGCATATTATCATAAGTGGCATGGCAGTGTGAATTACACGGGGCAGATCGCGACCCGCGTTTTTGAATTCCCCGGTTACATAGTTTGTCTAATATTTCGTTAGCTTCAAAATCGATACAGTAAAGGAAGTTGTGGTACGACGTACATTCTCCCATCCATCAAAAGCCCATAGACCAGAGTACAAGGCCACAGCCCAGCTGGATATACTTGTACTGGTACCATCAAACCAATTTTTCGTCTTCCATTCCTTGTTAGGGTTTCCATCATAAGACAAGCCTGTGACCGCAGCAACAATGCCAATAATAGTGACCGCAAGTAGTGCAATAAATTTGAAGAACATGAAGAGGTTTCCGACGCGGGTGCCCACTTTCGTTGATATGCAATTCAGCAGAGTAACGGCGATAATGCTAGCCAACGCAACAGCTTTGGAAATCCAGGGATTAACAGAGTCGACCTTTGTGCCAACTATCGCTTCAACAATATATTCACCGAATATAATCGATATTATTGCGTTGGACCCTGGCTTCAGAACGAAAACCGCAGTCCAGGTAAAAAGAAAGCCGGCCAGCTCGCCAAATATCTTTGAAAGATAGACCTGTGCACCACCGTTAAGTGGAATAGCTCCGCCCAGTTCTGCATAGCTTGCAGCTCCTGTCCAGGCAAGCAATCCAGCAACAACCCATACAATGAGCGAAGCACCCGGAGAACCTGCATTGCTGTTGACCTGGCCAGGCGACGAAAAGATGCCAGATCCGATTATTAACCCGATAATCAGAGACAATCCATTTAGATATGTCAATGTCTTGTGCCTCTCCAGTGAACCATCCCTTATACTACCATCATGTTCCAGGGATACTGCTGAAGGCGCACCTAGCGGCGCATACCCTCCAACTGTCTGAGAAAGGGGGAAAAGGGTGGTGCCGAAATCGAAGGCAGAAGAGACAGAATATGATCGGCCGTGACCAGGGCGTGTGGGTTCGTATAATTCGCCGGCTATAGAATCCTCATTCTCTAGGGAAGCGCGACGTGATGAGCTTACCCCGGATTCCGACGAGGATTGTGCAAGGTCGTCCTCCGATGAGGCGAGCGATGCCAACTCAAGCGAGTCTCTCATTGTATTCATTCAACGACCCATATAACGGGGGAATGGAAAGCGATTTCGCGTAGAGATTGTAAAAGAAAAGGCCGCAATGGATGACCGCGGATTTTCTAGGAGCAAAAGGGGTGTGGAGAGCTTGCAGCCATAGTTAGGATGGAAGAAACTGGAGAAGAAGACGCTGCTATGCTGGCTTGCTAGGCGATCTGAAAGCTACGTTAAGTCATCAGCTTAGTCGGCAGGGAAAAAGGGTGATATCTCGCGTGGGAAAACCTGGCTGTTGAAAAGGAGACGCAGACATTAGCAAACAAACCTGGAGTTGAAGATCTGATCAAGCAGATTTCCCCTTCCAGCGATCGATAGATTGAAGCCCTTATCTAAAATTCGGCCAATCATAAACTAGGTAGCTGATATAATGACTAAGCCGCTTTATTTAGAGGCACGTGACTTACTTTATTTTGGAAGACCACGGCAAAAAGAGCCAGTTGGGAGAAACGAGATGTTGAAATGAAATAATACTAGGGATTCTGTTATTTTGTTTAGATATTGTTATTCTTTTCATGTTTCCTCGGCCCGTTCGTTTGTGTCGGCTCTCATCTGCTCCGCGACAATGTAATGTCAACGCTCAATTCTCGTCGCCGAATCGTTATCAACGTTTTCGAACCTCATCCACAACATCCCAACCACCATCAAAGGGCCCGTCAGGCAAGCTATGGTTGACTGCTGCTGTTGTAGCTATTGCGGCTGGCGGAGCTGGTATATACACTCGTTCCCAGGGAGATACCTCTAGTACCACCCTGGACCCGGGTTACGTTCACGAACTACGAACTTATTTCAAAGACTCCGGTGTCGTCAACCTGCAGCATCTTTAACCTACGGCCAAAAAGGGGGGGAGGAATAAATGCAGAAGTCTACCAGGATGCTTTTGAAACTGGAATTTGGAGTGTACAATTCAAACAACCTCAGCTGCAGGTTGGCCGAGACTATACCCCGTTACCCCCTTCAATGCAGTTTTCCTCCCTAGACAAAGGAAACGACACGTCCCTTCAGTTCCTTATCCGGAAAGACGGCGAGGTATCGAGCTATTTACATGATCTTCAACCTGGCAGTATTGTGGAGATGCGCGGGCCCCAGCTAGGACTCGAGCTGACTCCGGACGTCCAAGAGATCCTTTTCATCGTGGGAGGGACTGGCATAGCCCCAGCTCTACAAGCTGCTCACACGATCCTCAAATGCATGCGGCCAAGGGATGAAACAAGAATACATATCTTATGGGCAAACCGACGGAGAGAGGATTGTCTCGGGGGTTGCAGTGATACTGTCGGTTCTCAGTGGAGTTGGTGGTCAAAACTGTACCCTACGACCAAGGCAGTAGGCACCCCGGGAGAAAATATAGAAGAACTGAGGAATTACGTTGTCGAGCAGCTGGACGAGCTCAAACGCCTCTACCCCAAGAAAGTCACTGTTGACTACTTTGTCGATGAAGAGAAATCACTTATTGGGAAAGATTCTATCATGAAATATATAAACTCAAGGGCGCAGCATCCACTTGTGGGCCCAAGGAAGAAGAAACTGATCATTATATCAGGACCTGATGGGTTTGTCAGCTACCTTGCTGGCCCCAAGATGTGGCATAATGGACGGGAGGTCCAAGGGCCACTGCGAGGTATTCTGAAAGAGTTAAATATTTCCGGCTGGTCAGTGTGGAAGCTCTGAAAAGAGTCTTACACAACACTTGCAGATACTCCCGTCAACTTTTAGACCAAATGTTCAGCTAGCTATTTGTTAGTGAACAACTATGCGCTGGCAAAGTCGTTCAGATATTGAACCAACTTTTCCACATTTTCAAGTGAAACGGCGTTATAATTGCTAGCTCGCATACCGCCGACGCTTCTGTGGCCCTTTAGCCCTTGAAGGAGGCGTTTCTCAGCGCCAGCAATGAATTCTTTCTCCTTCTCGGGGTCACCTCCATGGACTCGGAAGCAAACATTCATTCTGCTGCGAACACTTTTGTCTGGAACGACCTGATACACCTGAGGGTTCCTGTCGAGTGCACCATATAGGAGAGCTGTCTTCTTGTTCACGATATCTTCCTGGCCGCTCACTCGGGCTTTGCCGTGAGTCTGGACAAGGCCTGCAATGACTTGACCAGCAATCCAGAGGGTGAATATCGGAAGCGTGTTGTATAGAGAGTTATTTTTGGCGGTTATTGCATAGTCAAAAACGATCGGTCCCGGCAGGCCACCGATATTAAGCTGACGGAGCAAAGCCGGCGAAGGCGTGGCTGTATGAGGGGGTAGAAGGTCCTTCCGGACGATGATCAACGCAATACCCGTTACACCAACGTTTTTCTGAGCTCCTCCCTATAGACGGATCGTTGTATCTTAGCATTGGTGCAGGCCCTTTTGTATTTTTTTTTTAGACAATAGAGAGGATAAATGGTCACTTACAAATATGACAGCATATTTCTTGACATCTATCTTCCGGCTGAGGAAGTTAGAGCTCATGTCAGCCACAACCAGACGTTCGTCTTCCTCACTCACGTCCGGCGGGTTCTCCAGCGATTTTGGGAAAGCTGGGAATTCAACCCCGTCCACAGTCTCGTTATCACAGAAGTAGACGAATGCAGGTGCACTTCTTCCTCCCTCTGCCTTCGTCTTGGTAAGCTTCCATTCCTCTTCGACTGGTATGTTTCCAAATTTCCCTCCATTCGCTTCTTTAGCATCAACAGCAACATTGACAAATTTCTCCCCGACCAGCCTCTTTCCCTCCTGTGCCGCCTTTGAGGACCACGATCCTGTGACAATATAGTCTAATTTCAGCTCTTCATCGACCTGCCTTTTCAATTCAGCAACAACCTTGGCCTCATCGTCGCCGAACTGAGTGGCAAGCTTGCGTCTTCTTCTCTCAACCCAGACGCTGACCAGATTTTGAACAATTGCGCTGAACTCGCCGGTTCCGCCGCCTTGGAGGAACAGTATTTCGTAGTTCTCTGGTATATCGAGTAGGGTAGTCAGGTTCGCTTTGGTATCCGCGAGGATTTGGTTGGCGGCGGGAGATCGATGAGAGATTTCTCCTAGGCCCAGACCGCTGTCATTATAGTTGACGAAGGCTTTGGCGCCAGCCTCGACAACCGCAGTGGGTAGAGGAGCAGGGCCGGCGCCAAAGTAGGCGATTTCTGAACGAGAAGGCATTTCAGAGGTGTTTGGTACTGTTGCAAGTTGGTGGTTGGAAAAGATGACTCAACGAGGCCTTTTAAATGCAAGGTGGGATGGTGCAATTCTAAAATAACCCAGCATCCGTCATTATCTAGCGGGGCTTCTTATACCCATCTAGTTATATATTTAAGCGATTCACGGTCGATAGTGAACAGATGATGATTGGCTATGCGGCCGTTGTCTTGGTAGTCGAGCAACAGTCTATCACCATGGTCCTCTCTTGCTACTCTTCCTCACTTATCCAGTTCCTCCAAGGTCCCTCGTTCATTTGCAAGTGGCCGGCCGCTCTTTGCAAATCAATGACTCTTATCAGCTAGTTATGGACGGCAAATATTTACGTTTACTCACCAATAACAACCGTGCACCGTGTCCTTTAAAATAAAAAAGAGTCCTCGCAATGGAGACTCGCAAGCACTACTTGATGCCCAAAACAATCCTCCATTTCGTGCGCTCATTTGAGTAGCTCCAACCTTGCATCAGAGCAAACCAGGATGATGCGCAGGGATCTCACTATTTCTCCGATTCGGCAATTGTCCCACTGCTAGGGCTGTGGCAACTTTTGCACCTGGTAGAGAGTTACTATATTCGCCATACGGCCTCCAGATGCAAAGAAACAGGAGAAATAGAGAAAGATCAAGCCTTGAAAGTCGCTTTTTCTCTTCAACGGGCCACTTAAGTATGCCAGCCAAAATGCCGAAGAAATCCGGCTGATTACATAAAGCCGAATTCGGCTGAAAAATTACCGTAAAAAGCTTGTTTGCCGAGTTTGCATCTTTGAGCCTCAGATTTCAATTTGCTGCTTTTTCATTCGATAAGAAAACCTGCAGGAGACTGCGAGAAGAAAGACAGCGAGAGCGAGGGAGCAAGCAGGACAGTCAGAGAGGGCTCTCGGGACAGAAGAGTTCTGCTAAACGAAGAGACTGCTTCATGATGGCTGGCGTAATATCGCGAAGAGCCATGGCGAACGCCAGGAGGGCGTTTGCGTTCCCAAATGCGAGAGTGCAGAGTCGTCGGCTGCAGTGCTTTGCAAGGCCATCATTCGCCCACAGACAATTCTCTGTATCGGCCAGGCTCTCATCGGCTGATGTATTCCATTCGCAACTTCAAGACCCTTCCTACGCCGCAATCCACTCCGCGATCAAATCGAATACCCTCGTTCCCCAAACCCTGACCGAGAAGATTGTCCAGAAATATTCTGTTGGCCTGGCAGAGGGCAAGTTTGTCCGATCAGGGGACTATGTTACCATATCGCCGCACCGGATAATGACACATGATAACAGCTGGCCTGTTGCGTTGAAATTCATGTCCATTGGAGCGTCCAAGCTGAGAGACTCGAACCAGATCGTTATGACCCTGGACCACGATGTGCAAAATAAGTCAGAAAAGAACCTACAGAAATACGAGCAGATTGAGCAGTTTGCAAAAAAACATGGCGTTGATTTCTACCCTGCTGGAAGAGGCATTGGGCATCAAATTATGGTCGAGGAGGGTTATGCTTGGCCAGGGACCTTGGTGGTAGCTTCTGACAGTCATTCGAATATGTACGGAGGAGTAGGATGTCTGGGGACACCAGTGGTAAGGACTGATGCAGCCAGTATCTGGGCCACTGGAAAGACCTGGTGGCAGGTGCCTCCGGTTGCGAGGGTGAACTTTACTGGAGTCTTGCCCAAGGGCGTTACTGGAAAGGATGTCATCGTGGCACTCTGCGGACTGTTCAACAACGACGAAGTTCTTAATCACGCCATTGAATTTACTGGATCAGAAGAGACCATGCGCAGCTTGGAGATCGATGATAGACTGACGATAGCGAACATGACCACGGAATTCGGAGCTCTTAGTGGTAAGCTTCATTCTTTTTATGTATCAAATTGGCGTAACTGAATATAAGGCTAATTCTATGCAGGCCTATTTCCAGTGGACTCTATGCTAAAGGGATGGCTACGAGCAAAGGCGACTACTGCAGCCATGTGGGGGTCAACTGTTCCGGATCTTCCTAGCACAGCCGCCACCAGATTTAACCATGAACTCCTAGAAGAGATGTTCGAGCACCCTTTAGTCGCGGATAAAGGGGCTAAGTATGCCAAGCAACTCCATCTCGATTTATCCACCCTTACCCCGTATGTCTCTGGACCCAACTCCGTCAAGATAGCAACATCCTTGGATGAACTTGAGGCTCAGAGTATCAAAGTCGACAAAGCATATCTCGTATCCTGCACAAACTCGAGAGCTTCAGATATTGCAGCTGCTGCGAAGGTTTTCAAGGAAGTAGCGGAGAAGAACAATGGTAAAGTTCCAAAGATTGCGGATGGTGTTAAGTTTTACATTGCAGCTGCGTCAATTCCGGAACAACGCGCGGCGGAAGAAGCGGGTGACTGGCAGACTCTTCTTGAGGCTGGTGCAGAACCCTTGCCTGCTGGTTGTGGACCATGCATTGGCCTTGGAACCGGCTTGTTGGAACCCGGGGAAGTTGGCATTAGTGCATCAAACCGTAACTTTAAGGGCCGAATGGGTAGCACGGAGGCAAAAGCCTACCTTGGTAGCCCTGAGGTCGTTGCTGCTAGTGCCCTGAATGGGAAGTTAAGTGGACCAGGATGGTATGAAAAACCCGAAGGCTGGAACGGAGTTGTCCGTGGAGAAGGCGAGGGTATCAAGGATGACGACCTCTTGACAGCTGAACAGGCTCTTGAAAAGGTAATTGGACAGCTAGATACCATGCTTCTTGACGCCGAAAAGGCATTTGGCGCCGAAGAACCACAGGCACAGCCAGAAGAAACTTCTACTGGCCTGACCGAGGTATACCCCGGTTTCCCTGAACGTGTCTCTGGGGAAATCATCTTCTGTGATAGTGACAACATCAACACAGACGGCATTTACCCTGGAAAATACACATACCAAGACAACGTCACGGTTGAGCAGATGGGCGAGTACTGTATGTCCAACTACGATACTGACTTCTCCAAGGTATCAAAGGCTGGAGATATCCTCGTGACCGGTTACAACTTTGGTTGTGGAAGCTCCCGCGAGCAAGCTGCCACTGCTATTCTAGCCCGAAACATCCCGCTTGTGGTTGCAGGCAGCTTCGGCAATATTTTCTCTAGGAATAGTATTAACAACGCCCTCATGGGACTAGAAGTCCCTCGCCTCGTCAGCAGGCTACGTGAGACATTCGCTGGACAAAGCAAGCAGGCAACTCGACGTACCGGCTGGACTTTAACCTGGGACGTACGACGAAGCCAAATCGAAGTTCAAGAAGGCCCCGATGGCCAGAAATGGACGCAGAAGGTTGGGGAGCTGCCTCCGAACGTACAAGAGATCATCGCCCTTGGAGGTTTGGAGAAATGGGTGAAAAATTCCATTTCTGCCTCGTCTTAGGGCGTACTTCGGACAGTTTTTCATTATCTTTGATGTATACTATGATATAGTTCCCTCCCCTTTGCTTCTCTTTGGATATAGAAAAACGGATGTAAGCACTTGCATTGGCGCTTGTCTTTGAATTTTAGATCCTTTCGATTATAAGATTAGATAGTTGAACGATGTTAATTCGCTTCTGGCACAACTATCTTTACTTATTACTACCATTTTGGTAGGAAAATAACTCAGTCTATATGCTCAGTATGTCCGAGACGGTATGAAGGGGTTTCGTTTAAAAAAAAAAAAAAAGGTAAAAACTTTTTTTTCTAGCATGTCTTGGTTTCGATCCAAGGTCCTCCGGGTTATGAGCCCGGCGCGCTTCCGCTGCGCCAACATGCTTGATTTGATGTGGTGGGACAAGCCTTTGTGCTAGTTAAGCCTTATTGACAAGGTTTACCTTGATCTGGAATAGTGCGGCCCACTCTAGCGCCTCGAGTTGTATATAAAGGCCATGATGAAGAAGCCAAACCAGGCGGAGATGAGGGGTAGATGAAGTATTTGAGTAAGACAATATGTACATTAATGTCGCCTACTCATGCTGAAATAAGTATTATCAATTTTTGTCAGTTGAATCACTCCCTCCATTTCACAAAGACTTCGTCTGTTCTAAATCTTTGTGTACATGTGGACTCTTCCAACAGTGTATGGAAGCCTGTCTTGTAGGCCAGGAGCCCAGCCTGCGCTATCATGATCCCATTGTCAATGCAGAATCGCTCATCGGTAGCATAAACGCTTCCGCCTCTATCTCGGGCCATGATTCCCATCATCTCTTGAAGCCGCTCATTGCAACCAACACCACCCACTATTAGTACCTCCTTGGAGCCTACATGCGCCATAGCACGCTCCGTGATTTCCACCAGCATAGCAAACACTGTCTCTTGAAGAGAAAAACACAGATCTGCGCGAGTAACTATTCCGTCATCATCTTCAAGTGAGTCGATAGTTTCAACTTTTGCACGTCGAGCCACTTCAGCTGCATCCTTCGTCGCTTGTTCCTCGCCGCCCAGTCCATACGAGACAGCCAAGGCGTCAACTGTAGCTAATATACCCGAGAAAGAGCAGTCCATTCCTTTGACAGCATAGGGGATTTCAACGAGCCTTTTTCCTTTCTTGGCCAGCTGTTCAATGTTATATCCTGGAGCGGGGTCGTTGGAAATGTGTAACGTTCGAGCGAAGCGATCAAGACAATTTCCTACGGCTATGTCTAAAGTCTCGCCAAATATTCTATATCGTTGCGAACTATAAGCAATCACTTGGGTATTTCCTCCAGAGACATATAGAACAATAGGATTTGTCGCGCCGGTTATGTAGCGACCCATTTCAATATCTGTAAACCCAACGTTAGCACCCGTTGCCTATGCCGAATGCCGAGGAAAGTGGTAGGAAAGAAGGAAACAAAAGGACAAGTAATACGTACGGCCAACACAATGATTAACGCCTACAAGCCCCTTCCCCCACAGTAAACTTAACATCCTCGCGGCCAGTGCAACGCATTGTAGAGGAGCACCCATCCCGGGGCCTTTAGTAAAACATATGCAATCGACGTCGGTCACGCCAATCTTAGCATCTTTCAAGGCCTTTTTAACCAGGCTTACAACCCACTGGCGATGATGTCTAGCAGTATCCTTTGGTAAAAACCCTTCACCTGGCGGGGATACATACGTATGCCGAACATTGGAGAGTACTTGGGGAGTGCTGCCATCATCCGGGTGAAGTATAACACCGACACCCAGCTTGTTTGCAGAGCCTTCTAAGCCGATGGCAATCATAGTAGCTTCGCTTGGATCCCTTTCTTGTTGGACAGTAATCAGATATTGCACCCTTTTTCAAAAGTCCACACCTTTCTAGATCGCCCCTGATAAAGTGACGGAACATAGGCTATGTTTCTACACGCGCAGAACGAAGATTCGAACTTATCGATAGACTGTGATCACGTGATAAATATATGGTGGAAGGTTATTAATAATAAAACGGCCCCCGATGGGGGGAAGTTTATCCGGAAGTTTATCCGACAAGCACAGACCCGACATATTGTTCACACACCCACCATCTTCCTAGACGACAAATAGTCTGACATCCGGGCCAGTGTTGAGACACTGCCTACTTCTTAGGATAAAGGAGCAAGGTGGTGAAGTCATTGTTTTGATCTTGTCTGTTCCTACCTTGTCAGTGTACCCTTTTGCAGCATGTCTAGCCCGATGGACTTGTCAGGCAATGACCAGTTCAACCAGCTGTCAGATGACTTCTTGCTCTGGCTGAAGCGGAGCAGCCCTCATTTCAAAATGCATCCTGGCATACATATCGCTGATTTGAGGTCCGTCGGTGCTGGGAGAGGTATCTGTAAGTGATCTAACCCACATTGTTCGCAGGTAATTCCACACAAGGCCAGAAGACCCGTTTGTTTTTGCTGACGTCTGACAACAAGGCGCCTCGCGAGACATAGCCGAAGATGAAGAACTCTTTATTATTCCCGATGACTTGGTCCTAAGCGTACAAAACTCAGAGGCAAGGAGCGCCCTGGAACTGGATGACAAGCAGCTCGGGCCTTGGCTTTCGTTAATCATAACCATGATCTACGAGTACTACCAAGGCGAGCAATCGAAGTGGTACCCTTACTTCCGTATCCTTCCCTCGAGTTTCGATACGTTGATGTTCTGGACAGATGAGCAACTATTAGAACTTCAAGGCAGTGCTGTTGTTGGAAAGATTGGCAAGGCTGCGGCAGATGACACCATTTTGCAAAAAGTGGTTCCGCTGATACAAGCCAACCCTCGCCATTTCCCACCCAGACCTAATATGCCTCCACTCAACTCATCTGATAGTCAGAATGCCTTACTTTGTCTTGCCCATCGTATGGGTAGCATTATCATGGCATATGCCTTTGACATAGAGAAGACCGACGAGGTAGATGAGGACACGGCTGAAGACGGCTATATGACTGATGATGAGGACGAGCCAGCCAAAGGCATGGTTCCTCTAGCAGATATATTCAATGCAGATGCACAGAGAAATAATGTTAGGCCAAGTATCTTCAATCATCCACACCTGTTCTAGACTAATATTATTTCCTTATTAATTTATAGGCACGTCTTTTCCAAGAGGAAGGCTCGTTTGTGATGAAGGCTATCAAGAATATACACTCAGGAGAAGAGATCTTCAATGATTATGGAGAGCTCCCACGGGCGGATCTTCTTCGCCGATACGGCTATGTCACCGATAATTATGCCCAATACGACGTCGTTGAATTTTCGTTGGACAGCATTTGCAAAGTTGCTGGTTTACCTGATAGCGAGCCTAGCTCTACTAACCCCCGGGTATGTGGGTAGGGCCAGATATTATCCCCATTGCATACTGACCTTTTTCATAGCTTGAGCTCCTGGACAACCTCGACATGCTTGAGGAGGGATACAGTATACCCAGGATACCACCGAATGGAACATTAAAGGACACAATACCGAAGGATTTCCTTGTTTTGCTTCGGGCCTTAACCCTGCCTATAGAGGATTTAAATCGACTCAAAGCAAGAAACAAGGCCCCTAAGCCCGAGTTTTCAACTTCAGAAGCATCCCTTTTGCGGTCTCTAGTGACCTGTCGACAAAGCGAATACCCAACATCCGTCCAGGAAGATGAAAGTATACTTCGCTGTCTTGAGCAACAAAACGGATATATCAATGACTCAATTCCTATCCGCAAGAAAATGGCAGTACAGGTAAGGAAGGGAGAAAAGGAAATTCTCACTCAAATATTGACCCTACTAGATACCCAAGATACCCATTTGGTGCAACCTGACCAGAACGGCTCAACGAAGCGCTCAATGACGGACGACGAGAAGAGCTCCAAGAGAAAAAGACAACTTTGAGCAAACTACATCACTTTATACACAGTTTCAGCATTGAAATATGGAAATCCAAAGGATGAAGTTTTCGAATTTTTTTGTCCTTGCTTTATTGATTTTTTTCGCTGATATGATAGCTCGCCTCCCAGAAGACTCTTATATGTACACAACAAACAAAGAGCATGATGTCTAGTTCAGCCTGGCCTGTCGCGAAGCTGTTAAAATGAAGAGGTAGTGTTATGGTAGAAAAACAGAAGTGTCTGTGTATGAATCATGGTGTCTCGAGGAATGTGGATGCAGCATATAAGATGCTGAGGTGACAAAAAGGGGTGATTAAGGTGAGTGGGCAATTAAGACAGAGTCTGTTGAGCTTTCTGTGCTATATTTGATGAGTTGGGATTGACATTATTATGGCCAGGTGTAGGAGGTGCACCAGGCAGCCGTCGACCATTGGGAACTTGCTGACCGTGGGCCTGTGCCTGGGCTTGTAGCTGAGCCTGGGTTATGGCTTGATCCCTCGCCTTGGCCGACAGATACGCGCGATGTTGCATGATTTGAATATCGAACTCGTCTTTCTCATAAACGACATCCATGTCATCATCGTCACGATCATACTTGAACCGGTCGAGCTTAATAGGATCCACGCCGTCCTTATTACGGAGTGCAAGATTCCTGCGGTCGATGAGTACACGACCACCACGGCCTACACGCCGGCGGAACGATGGTGTGAGCCTACAAGAATCATCTTCCGACGGACTAGACTGCCGAAGCGCTGACCACTGGGTTTCCAACGATGTGCCACTGTGAATATCCCGCATGCGCTCAGAGGTCTCAGAAGTAGGGGGTGTGGGTAGGTACTCATGCGTTATTGCCGGCCTGAATTCAGCCTCGAATCCTTGTGGTGTGGTTGGGGTAAGTGGTGCCCGAGTGATGTCTACATAACCCTCGTTCCATTTGGCATGTTTCGCAACATTCTGCTTGATTTCTCGCAGAATATCGTTTTCCTTGTCTGCTTGAACATCTTCAAGCAATTGCAGATCTTCGCCAAGCTGGCCTGTGCTGCGTGAAGGCACACGCAACTGCGGAACATTTGGCCGCTGGATAACAGGAACTTCTGTGGGTTTCTTCTTTGGCTGAACGTCCGAGTCAGTTATGCTGAAACAAAACCCGAGCACATCAGTTGTGGACTTTACCTTCTGATTGATGAGATCCTCATCATCGTCCTTTATACCAAGTTTCCGCTTCATTTCCTTTACCTCACAGCGCTGCATGAACAGCTGCTTTTCAGCTGCGAACACTTCCTTTCGTCCAAGTTCACGTTGCTGGACCATGGCTATCAGCGTCCGGGCATCTTCTAGCTCTTTTCTCAAGCGTCTGAGTTTCTCAGCACTTTGTGCATCCCGGCCTCGCGTTTTCCGAGCTAGTCGGACTTCTCTACGACGGAAGCATACATATGGATCACCATCGTCAGTGTCTTGCCCAGTCTCAAACTGCAAAAAGATATCAGCATATATTCACGACATGGTTAAGCGGGACGACTTACCTTTAAAGTTGGTTGCAAGGGCCGATTCCCTGAAGCCGTCCGCCGCGATTTCCAACTCTCATATATTTCTCTTACAAAGGGCCTTAACTTATCATGTATCATGCCATCGAAGCATTCCTCCATTTCCGGGTATGATACTACAGGTGGATTATCGACAGCAGCAAATGGCTGTTTTGCCTGTGCTGTCTCTTCGAAAAAGCTCATCACCTCCTCGAATTGGTTCTCTGTGCATTGTGTTGAGACGTCCCGCTTCTGGTTCATTATCTTCAACGCGACATCATCCTCCTCAACAAGATTATACCCGCACCCACTGCAGTCTTCTACGGTCGACGAGAATCGGATATACGTCGCCGGCTGCGAAAATACAGGCCTGTAGAGCGTGTCATATTGGACTGAGCTCTGGACAGTTTCGGGTGTTGGAATATGTGTCTGAGCTGCATTTCCGAACGCTGTGGCATTTATTGCAGCTTGCAAATGGAATTCCTAATCACACGACCTAGGTTAGCCAGGCTTCTTCGACATGTTCAACCCCCCCGGCGTATAGTGTATCGGCGGTGGCCCCTATAACATCACGTGATGTCTCCCAGGCAACCCCTTGAAAATTTTGATCACAGGGAGACTTACAGTTTCTTCAGCTTTCTCAACGCCGGTTTCGATAGACTGTAGTGTAGTTTGCGGATCATCTTCGGTAAGGTCAATCTGATCCTCTCGGAATATCGGTATCGGCTGCTTGGGGGTGAGCTTTTTCGGACGCGTAGCCCTCATCATCCCCCCAAGCCGTGACATGACTCTCGGATAGCGAAGATAGGCCCTCTCATGGGCATGTGGTGGCCCAAAACAGGTATCAAACGATAGAGCTATTCATGAGCAGTAAAATGACGGTACTATTGTGTGAATCGAGCGTCGTAGGGTCGGGATAGCGCTGTCGGGAAAATGGTGGCAAGGCGGTGTTTTGATGAGTTGACGTTGTCCATGACGCTACAAATCGGGCTGTTTGGGCGCTGTTTGGTAGTCTGGGCCAGCGCATGGGCCTCCAGTGCTTCCTAATGCGGCTAGCGCGACCTATCCCAATATCAAAATCCTCAGTGACGCTGGCATACCCGATTTGGCCTAGCGCGATCATCTAGAATCGCCCAAAAAGAGAAAACGTCACTTGCTGCAAGCACGTCCAACCTCGCTGCCAACCATCACCACGTCCATCACTCCCGCCAGCCGACATAATAGCGTCGCCAGGCTACTCCGATATATTACAGTGAATTGATACACCGGTTTTAAACGCTACTGGTCTACAAAGTCGGCCTTTGGAGTGAACGAGACTTTTGTTTGCTTCTAGGCCTCCCCCTCATTTCTAGCTTCTCGTCGTGATTATGGCTTCTGAGAACTCATCTTCGGAGCCTATAATGGGTTCGTCTGGTATCCAGGTCTTGGAGAAGATCGTGTCTGCGTCCAACTGTATGTTTATGCGCCTCATAAATTACCGGGCAACTGCAACCAAATGCTGACATTTACTGGCCAGTTGATCGGGATGAGGTCGACAGGTTACGGAAACGTTTTATGAAGCTAGATAAAGTGAGTTAAGGGCTAGAGCCACTTCTATCGTTTAGATGAGGAGGAACTATCCTCAACGGTTCCATGCATGCGGCTAGACCTCGCGAATTCCTACCTAACACTACCTTGATTCTCAATAGGACAATTCTGGTACGATCGAAAGAGATGAATTTCTTTCTCTCCCTCAGGTCTCTTCCAATCCATTAGCTACTCGGTATGTGTCCATGGCTTGAATATTTGTCTACTTCCCTTAGAAAGAGTGTTTACCCCGCGCCCAATGCATGTATGCTCCCTGGGTCTCGAACAGTGGGCTAATTGGTTTGCGACCATGACAATGAGAAAATTAGAATGATCGCGATTTTCGATGAAGATGGCGGTGGTGACGTAGACTTCCAAGAATTCGTTTCCGGGTTATCGGCCTTCAGTTCGAAAGGTAACAAAGAGGAGAAGCTTCGATTTGCCTTTAAAGTATACGATATCGACCGTGATGGGTACATTTCAAACGGGGAGCTGTTTATTGTTCTGAAAATGATGGTTGGCAGCAACTTGAAGGACAACCAGTTACAGCAGATAGTGGATAAGACCATCATGGAAGCTGATCAGGATGGAGATGGGAAAATAAGCTTTGAGGAGTTTACTAGGATGGTTGAGAACACCGACATCAGCATGAGTATGACTTTGGGTATGTCTATAATTCCCCTTCCTCTCCTTTCTCAGCTTACTTGGGGAAACGTTATTCTCGTGCTATTATTAACTAACTGAATTGGTAGATCAATTCTAGTTACGCTATTCCTCGTACTTTCTGTTTGTTGGCGTTCGTTTACGACTATTCCTGAAGAGCTTGGGCAGCGCTACTCTGCTATTACCAAGCAGTCTTTTGAAACAATCGGCGTTCGCTTACAATATGCGATGATGACTACGATATCAACCAACTCCCTTATAGATATTTTATTGCGTCTCTATGCAACTGGAACCACGTTGGGCCAACACCACCTTAAATTCAGACTAAACTCACACAGTGGCATTGTACTTAAGGGTTTCAATATCAATTACTGGAGTACGCGGCCTTATTCTTCATGGGACGGAATAATGATGTCAGAATACAAGCATATTAAGTATTGCCCATTCTTGAGCGGGGAATTCAACGCCTAGCCATCGGCTATTGATATTTACCTGTTGCATAACTGAAATGGTGAGTATTCTTCTGTTACTTTTTTGCTATAAAGTCGTTCTACATAACATATGATTGTTGAGACATCTTTAATGGCCACGAGATTGGTTAAGTTCTGCCTCTCCACAACCTTATCTTGATCTCTTGATTTTTCATGCTCACGGTTTTTTTTTTTTAACTCCTCGCCCTTCAGCACCGAACAATTAACGTATCGCAAAGGGTAACAGGAATGGGTCTTCAATCCCTTGGAGAGAGTAGCTACATATGCTTCACTTCTGCCTGGCGACCCCCCAAATACCCCTGGCTCAATATGCAGATGCAAGAGATATTACTGCTACATATCCCTTACCAACCAAGGCGCACAAGGAACCCATTGCTGTCGGACGGGTGAGCTACAGAATAGCCCTCGTGCCAGGTTCGGGATTTGGGTAGCCCAATTCCGCGGTTTGATCTAACTTGGATATTCGGGGCCTGGACATCCTCAGGTAGAAGGCTGGTTTCTGCTAAATATATCGCAATGATTAAGATTATTCCTTCTCCCACCAAACCATTTTGCCAGCTGACCCTAGCTTCTCGACTCGGTGGGGGCCTCTTTTATCTCATCTGCATGACTAAAACTTTCTCTACACCGCTTGAAATGTCGATGATACCGGAAGGTACCCATGGCCATATCGCTGAGCATGCAGCATTGACAAGCAAGATTATAATATGCGCAATTCCATCAGCCAAACGGCGTATGTTCCATTCCCGCGCCCTAGATTACACTTTTCTTATGCAAGCTTATGCCCTTACTTGCATGGCAGTGGAGATCGAGAGGCTCAAAGAGCTTCCTTGCCCTTCGACGCTCGCTTACAACAAGCATCAAGCCGCCAGAAATGATCCGTTGGATACGCCCCAACTCCAGAACCACTCCTTGCAGCGGTACCATCTTGTTTTCAAAGTTTAAGGGCAATGGCCACGTCTCAAATCCGATTATATATATATTTTTCTCATGCTTCCTTGAGCCGTGCAATTTCGAGCAGATTCTTTCCTGACCTATCAGAGCTTTGAACTAGGATATACCACGAAGAAATGACATGGACATGGTTGTTATTATCGATCAACTCACTTGCCGGGGTGGCGAAACTGAGCCTAGCACGGAAGATAGAGGCCGCCATTATTGGCAGTCCAGCTCGTCCCCGCCATGCTCCATCCTGCTCTATGATACATAAATTTTCAAAGCTTGAGGGGAGGAGGACATGGTCAGCCATCAAACTTGCAAGATGAAAGAGGTATTTGCTTCTCTTTTTCCCACTTCAAAGTTATGTAACCCAACTGTCGTTTAGACTCTGCCCCTGAAACATGAAGGGTTGTCATTCCAGGGCCGTGTATGATCCTAAAAGCCTAACGCTGGACAACTTGGAGCCAAGCATCGCTTCCAACTCGAAAATGCCTCAGAGTGATTAATGATATAAGTACACTCCCAAGCACTGTCTCGGAAAAGCCCCCGTGCAGTGCAGAGTACCACCAAGAGGCATGAAGATCTGGGGTTTTTCCTCTATTGCCCACTAGCCTTGGATCGGAGAGTGATACCTTCCAGCTCGAAATTATACAGGAATTTAAGGTGGGAATGAGATTTCGGGATTTCTGTCTCCTTGCCGTTAGCTTCTTTCTCACTCCGCTTCAAATTATTTTAGTCCTGGCAAGCAACAAGATGGTTGGGTATTTTTCACTAAATACGAAGGAGGTTGGAAATCAAGATCAGATAAAACTAATTAAAACAAGCATGCATAAACTTGACAGCTGGGAGCAGGAGTTAAATTGGATGGGTGAGCAGACCTATTAAATATGTGGCTAGGTGGCGTTGGAAACAAGGCCAACGTTTCAAAGCACGCATGTACATCAGAGAAGAAACGGGAGCACAAAGAGAAAAGAAATTATAAATAATATCTATTATCTGAATCGAAGGAACCGGAGATACAAGAAGGCCGAGTAAACAGAACCAAGTGCCAGAGACCTAGAATCTTAATTTCAGTATGCAGTCATCCGGAGAAACGACAAGCAGCAGGAGCTCAACGTCCGCAAGGAGATACAGAGGAACGGTAGTTTGGTGAGAGATAAACAAAACCCTGTTGTGCAACGTAATAGCTGAGAATGACTGCTTCATACTTATAATAGCCCGGGTGTAAGCGTTAAGCATATAAACACGCTGCTCTCGGCCTGGGTTTCCTGTTCTCTTACTGTTCATCGCTGCGAAATGTGGACATCTACTTGACCATTCTGACCCAGTATTATTCCCTGAGCTCTCTTAGCCGTGCACATATACTCTGTACAAGAAGCTTTCGAGTCCGTCCCACTCCGGCCATCCAATAATACCGCTAAAGACCAGTAAGGAGTAATATATGAAATGCAAGGAAGACGAGAATGTAACCCCAATCTAATAAATCTGAAAGAAAAGCAAAATGGGTATCTTTATATCACTGCAAGTAAACCGTAACATACCCCAGGTCAAGAAGACGAAATGGTAAAAACTGAAAACCAGGCAGTCGGTGTCACGTCATATGAATTGAAAGGTACGAAAAGAAGAAACATCAACTGAGGAAAGCAAAAAACATTGATGCACGCAGGACATGCAAAAGAAAACACATAAAAGGGGTCCGCAGGACGACAAACGCGCAAGGGGTGGTAAAAAAGACGAAGAACCAAGAAATATTGCACAGCAAACTAGAGGAATGCTGACGTCGATGCTGCTCCACCGCATGAAAAAGAATGCAGACCCCACCAGGCAGGTTGTCCAAAAGTTGATCCTTGAAAGCATTGGTGCCGTGTGGAAGAGCTCAACGTATTTGGCGAGACAGGTCACATAGTAGTAAATGGTGGAGGGCGTGCGTTGTCGAACCACGGAAGAAGACATTAATGGAATAACAAGATAAAAATGAATCCAAACATCCAAATGCACCAATCCGTTGACCACTCTATTTCCCTCTAAAATCTAGGACGTTGAATGGCTGATTCTTTCTGACAGCTAGAATTTCAAAAAAATCAAAGCAATAAGATAACCTGGAGCGCGGCCGTCACACATAACTGTCGTAGGATTAGAGAATGTGTGCGATATCGAGACAATGGAATGAAACGCTGGAGCTTCTCCTTTTTTTTTTTTTTTCGGCCCAATGTCAACTGCTGAAGATATATTGAGGATTGAAGTTTTGGCCAGGGGAAGAATGAAGGGTATGAATTTCATGCAGGTTGCATAATCTGGGCGGGAAGAGTCAAGTCGGGATGACTCCGGCCTGCGTTAACTAACAAAGCTTGGTGAAACAACTTGTGTTGACCTGCAAGCTTCAAATCACATTGCTCCATCCCTCATGTTACGTGGTCCAATCGCGGCGGGGCAATGATCGATGCGGGCCAAAAGGGCGATTGAGTTAATGATCAGCCGTTGGAAGTTTGTTCCTGTTGTTTGATGCACTGGTTTCTTCATGTCCCTCAAGGAGATCGAGACACTGCCCCAGCACTATATTATTCACGAAATCAAATTAGAATGAACGAATGACTGGAAGTCATATTCACTCACCACATAATATCTCTTCTTCCCAGACCCCCATTTGGTAGTCAACTAAGCCATATTGCTCCATTTTGTCACAGAGTCGGACCAATTCTCTCCCTAGCTTTTGCAGAGCGGCTTCGCTAAGAAGCTCAGCGGGACGAACTCCTGTATCGAACATCTCCAGGGTTGTATCTTTCTGCTTTTGACAAATAGCAAGCCAGCACGTATTAAAGTTATTCCACATGTCAATTCGATCAGCATGAAGGTCTTCTTGATCGCGAACAAGCCCTAGAATCAGTTATTAGCCCAAAATTATTTTGCACACTCAGGCCTTGCGTGGGACTCAGAGCGCACGACAGAGCTTATGAGAAGTCATATGCTTACCTAGTTCCACTGCATTTCCAAGTAACCATTCTGACATCTCAAGCATAGATTCACTGGCATTTGCAAGACGACCGGCTTTAATATCGTAAAATACTTGCTTTAAAGTTTGCTGGTAACGGTTGTATGCTTCGTCGAGTCCCGAGGGTCTTTTCTGAGTAGCTTCTTGTCGTTCTTGAGGATCTTGTCCTGAAGTAGAATTGAAGCCAGGCATGCTCTCAGCAAATGATGCTGCCACACCAGCCCGGCTTACCGGAGGAAGTTGAGGAAACCCAGGCGACTGGTCTTGAGGACTTAGATATTGTGCTGAAGGGCCTGCGCCTCCTGAAGATTCATCAGGAGGGAAATATTGTGGAACTCCAAACTGGGTTGCCAAAACCTCGATGGCCGCGGACTGCCGTGGCTGGTAGTACGAAGACGGCGTCTGGTCATGGGGGTTAATGTTATAGACAATATTGTGGTCATATTGTTGCAGTCGCTGCTGCTGCTCCTGTGGTGTAGATTGTTGCGCTGGTTGTGGGGGATTTCGTGAGTTGTGAAAGCCTTGCTGATACTGCATCGAGCCACCTTGTAATTGTGAAGTATTGTATGGTGTTGATTCAGAGTATTCAAACCCGCCGTAAGGGGGAAGAGGGGTGGCCCCATCTTGAGGAGTACTATCCAGTGTAGCTCTTCTGAGAGGGCCCGATTGTTGCGGTTGTCGGAATCGGTCGGAGGATGCACCAGGTGTCTCGCGAACTACCCGACCTGACATATAGGAAGTGTCATACTTCTTCTGATGACCGTCGCCGCCATCCATCCCCCTAAACTGGGTTGAAGTGTTCCCACCCCACGACGGCTCAAGATTTGAGGGTCGACGCGTCGGAGGCGAGATTGGCGGGCTGGCGTAGTATTCCACGTTTTTGGTTCGCGCAGCCAGCTCTGCTATATCTCTGAAGGACTGCTCGTTTATTGTTTGGGATGATGTTATCCCGAGACTGCGGCGTAAAAAGGGAGTGGAAGCGGTCCAACGATATTTCGACTTAATTCAACGGGCCTCTTAGCTCAAGAAGCGCAATGACTGTGTAATTATCAATCAGCCAGATGTAAGGGTGAGTTGATAGCTTGTTGCAACATTCCAGGATAAGGAAAGTGGACCAAAAAACAACAGTCGGATTCCAAAGGGAGGTTGTGGTCAACTTCAAAGCAAAGAGGAAATGTTTTCGGTACTAGTGTTGCCGAAGGAGACAACTATTAGGCAATTGTAGAAATATGATCGGTAGGGAGTAAAGAGTCATAAGCTTGCTTGGTCATAAACGTTCGAATCTTTGGTGGATCGTGAACGGAATCATATCAACACTGGATTTAATAAAGAACGCAATACAATTCAGGTGATGGGAAGCTGAAACTGTTCAACGACGGGCAAAACGAGCGTGGGCTTGGTTTAAACCACCAAGCAATGTTTGAGGGAAAAGTGTAGATCGAGGATGCAAGAATCTTAGCGGACACGGCTGTCGTAAGAGGTCGTTAGCTAACGGCGGCTGTGGTAACTAATAGAAATCTTTTTCACAACAGATTCTGTAGAGGCGGGGTATATACGTCGGCTGAAATGATTATTTTTCAAAAGTCTGGAGGTGGCGTAATAATATATGAACCGTCTGGGATTGCTTTTTACCCAACTTCGGAACTGGTGGACTTGTTGATGTGGAGATGTCCTGAGCCTTATGAAACTTAGTTTCAACCAGCCGAGTGCCCCTATTTCGCATACTTGTTGCGTGGAACAAATGATGCGAGGCTGGTTGGAAGTATAAAGAGGTGAAGATGCAAGCCGGGTGGCTCATTGAGCGCTTATAATGCAAATCACAGTAGCCCAAACCCAAACTTATGGGCAAACAAATTCCCCAGACACGTTGTATGCAACCGGCTATAAGTCGTTATCCCCCATCGATGTCTTTCTGTTGATGTCGTATATGGTGCGGCTGGATGGCCTGGATTAATCAGTTCACCTCCAGACCGATTCTGATCATTTTCCTTTTGGGCAA